CACCAAAACGACCCCTTCAGGTCGTGGTACATCTTCGTTTTCCCGGGATGGGCCAAGTAAGGTGCGGTATGTGCCTCTGATAGAATCTCCTTTCGCAGTGCCTCGGCCTTCGGGACCACGATCATGCCTCTGAACTCCAAGGCACCATCGGCGCCTAGCTGAAAGTCCTGTACTCCTCCGGCGCGAACCTTGGCCTCCATGACACGCACAAACTCGTCAGAAGCCTGCTCTTGCCGGATCTTCTCCCTCAGTGTCGGCTGAAGCCGCATAGCACTGACACTGGCACTAGTGTTCCCCGAGACATCTATGGGGAGTGCATCAATCACCTGAAGCTGCATCCGGGCGAACTCATGGATCAATGGACTCTGTTGCGTAATGACGTACGTCAAGTCTCCCGTCACCTTTCGGCTTAGGGCATCTGCAACGACGTTCGCCTTCCCCGGATGATACTGGATGGAACAATCATAATCCTTGACCAATTCGAGCCAACGGCGCTGCCTCATATTAAGCTCCTTCTGCGTGAAGATGTACTGTAGGCTCTTATGGTCAGTGAATATCTCGCAGCGTCCGCCGTAAAGATAATGATGCCAGATCTTCAGGGCGTGAACGACTGCGGCCAACTCTAAGTCGTGCGTAGGGTAGTTCTGCTCATGGGGCTTAAGCTGTCGCGAAGCGTACGCAACGACCTGTCCGTCCTGCATAAGGACGCATCCTAAGCCCTGCCTCGAAGCATCGCTGTAAATAGTGAAACTCCGAGAAGGATCTGGGACAGTCAACACCGGTGCTGTCGTCAATCTCTTCTTGAGCTCCTGGAAGCTCGCCTCACATCTGTCTGTCCATTCAAACTTCACAGTCTTCCTCGTCAGCTGGGAAAGTGGGAGGGCAATCTTAGAGAAGCCCTCGATAAACCTGCGATAATAGCCAGCTAATCCGAGAAAACTGTGAACCTCAGACGGATTCCTCGGTGTCGACCAGTTCTGTACGGCTGAAACTTTAGATGGGTCCACCTCGATGCCTGCCTGGGTAATAACATGACCCAGAAAAGAAACTCGCTGAAGCCAGAATTCGCACTTGGAGAATTTAGCGTACAACCTCTCTCGTCTGAGGGTTTCGAGAACCACCCTCAGATGCTCCTCATGCTCCTTCTGACTCTTTGAGTAAATAAGAATGTCGTCAATAAAGACAATCACAAACTGATCGAGGTATGGATGAAAGATACGGTTCATGAGATCCATGAATACTGCTGGCGCGTTGCTAAGACCGAAAGGCATGACTACAAACTCGTAATGGCCGTAACGAGTCCTGAAAGCGGTCTTAGCGATGTCTGATTCCTTAATTTTCAGCTGGTGGTAGCCTGACCGTAGATCGATCTTTGAAAATACACAGGCTCCCCTCAACTGGTCGAATAAGTCGTCGATCCTGGGAAGCGGGTACTTATTCTTAATCGTCAACCGGTTGAGATCCCGGTAGTCGATACACATTCGCATAGATCCGTCCTTCTTCTTCACAAAGAGAACGGGTGCTCCCCATGGTGACACACTCGGTCGGATAAAACCGAGTCGCAAAAGCTCCTGGATCTGAGTCTTAAGCTCCTGTAACTCTTTAGGTGCCATGCGATACGGGGCTTTAGATACTGGACCAGCCCCTGGAATAAGATCAATAGAAAACTCCACCTGACGGTTAGGCGGTCCTCCTGGTAACTCGTCTGGAAAGACGTCAATAAACTCGCGAACGATAGGAACATCATGAGGTGTCCGTGTTCTCTGAGAATCCTCAACAAGGCTTACCAGGTAACCTTGGCAGTTGCCTCGTCGCA